AGGCACTTTTATCCCAGACTCAAGCTATGTAATGAAAATATTTGTATCCCTGAATATTTATAAATTTAAAAAAAAGCCTTTGGCCATATATGTGGATCCAAATCTATACATCTCTCTTATGATTTAATCACTCTATTGGATTTTCTTTGTACTAGCCTCAAATAATGGATATTGAGGGAAATAACAAAGAGGTAAATTGCTATTTTCATCATGTTATATCAATGGGTACATATTATCAGCATGATATTACTTTTGATGTTAAGCTCAATCACTTGACTGAGGTTGTATTTGTCACATATTTCCTCTGTAGTTACTACTTCTCCCCAGTTTCATACTGTTGTCTTTGGAAGGATATCAACTGTGTATAGTCCACACTTAAAAGGCAGGATTTTGAATGTTCACAACACAAAGAAATGATAAATGTTTGAGGTGATGGATATGCTAATTGCCCTGATTTGATCGTTGCACATTCTATACATGTGTGTAAATACCAGTCTTCATCCCATACATATGTATAATTATTATGAGTCAACCAAAAATAAAGGAAAAAAAAGGGTGGAACATTATCCTCTAATTCTTCAAGATCACATTATCCACATAAATAACTTGGAAATATATTCACAGGAACCTTGTTTATTCTTCTCTATTTATTTAGCTATTTATTCAATTATGTGTAACCATGTGGAGTCTTTGATATGTACTGTATAATTAAGGTTATATTTCAGTGCTGTTATTCATTTTCTTGCCAACATTTTTTTTTGTACAGCTTCAGCCATTGTAGGCTCTTCCAGTGGACTCTTGTGCCCCCATCACTGTGAGTGTGTGCTTGTGTTTTAGCACTTCCTTACTTTCCACCACTATAAGATGCTCCAGTTCATCTTGTACGTTCTTAGCCCCAGACCTAGAATCAGACATTTCTTCAAGAAGTCCTGATCATTTTATTGGAGAATGGGGTATTAGAAACAAAGACCCGAGTGCTAAATGACCATTTTTAATTCTAGTTAAAATGTCACCCAAATTATCAAATTTGAAAGCAAGAATGGACCACCTCCTTTTCCCATAATCTAAGACAAATTAAAGATTAAGTTCTTTATCACATCTGGCTCATGTTCCTTAATTGAGAGGAAAGGGACATTTTAGAGAATGACCTTCCCCAGACGCCTATATTTTGCATCATTCATGTTAAACACTTCTCCAGGGAAGGCAAAAGAAGAAATTTTTCCAGTCAAAAGCCTGTGTGAGGGTTGATTTCAGAAAGTTTCAGATTTAGTGTGGTTTCTAGCACAAAGGTGAGAACATACACTTCTTTGTGAAATCAGAGACTCTGGTTCCAGAATAATCAAACATTAATTTATAAGCATTTAAAAAGTTCTTTTTTGAGTAAGCAGCTTCTAATTATTTTACGAAGAAAAGATGACAACTCAACATTCTAAGTTTCATGAACCTTTACTAAAGCTGGTAAGATCTGTTTAGCGGGACGACTTAGTTTTATTGACTACTTGGGGAAAATGGGTCTGATCAATGGTATAGCCAGTAACTAACACATACAAGGCACTTGTGGAAAGGTAGGCAGTTTAGCAAAATTTTTTTTTTTTTAGGAGTTCTTTACAATCCAAAGTGAGGAGCTGGAAATAAAAGACATGCACAGCAGTTCCTGATGGATATGGGCATTGCTAGATCAGAGCTGTTGGTAGATGGAGGTGTAAGAGATAAATGCTCCAAGGGGGTGATGATATTTTTATGGATATATTAGGATGCAAGCTTCCCTTCTCCTCAATGGAAACTATGTGTAGAATAGTATGGAACCGTATTGATTTGTAACTATAGGAAATTTTCTTAGTATTTTTACCCATTTGACAAATATTTATTAAACATCTGTATTTTTCTCAAAGTGGAAATTAAGCAGTGAACAGATAAAAATGTCCTTCCTTATGTTGCTTCATTCTAAAGTGCTATCCCTATGTCTGTAATTATTATATAGGTAAATAGGTATAAGTTACGGTTACTATACAAATATGTCAGGATGTCTATATCTATATCAATATCTATCTCTGGATATAGATAATCTTATCCTGACATTTACTTCATAGATGCCAAACAATTTTTTTTTCAGTTCTGTTTGCTAAAAAACTTTCAAAAACTTCCAGTAAAAGAAATGAAGCTATAGGCAATGGCAGTGTGTTTGTGTATGATATGTTTAACAATCACTGAGTTTCAAAACTATCACTGTAGCTAATTCATAATTTTACTCAACCTTCTCAAGCTTAATGTTGCCCTAAGAATACCACTCTACCTCCTGCCTACAACAGAAGACACAGAGGACAGTTGTGATAGCTTAGAGATACACCAATGTGAATAACATATCGTCTCTGAAGGTAAGTTTTTTTTATGGTGCTTTTTTAAAAATTAATTAATTAATTATTTCCCAAATTCTGTGGGTACAAATATTGTTAGGGTTACATATCTTGCCCCTGCCCACCTTCCCACCCTGCTTTGGTAAGGTTTTTAAAAGCCGCCTTCTTCGTCGTCTTCTTCTTCTTCTTCTTCTTCTTCTTCTTCTTCTTCTTCTTCTTCTTCTTCTTCTTCTTCTTCTTCTTCTTCTTCTTCCTCTTCTTCCTCTTCTTCCTCTTCTTCCTCTTCTTCCTCTTCTTCCTCTTCTTCCTCTTCTTCCTCTTCTTCCTCTTCTTCCTCTTCTCTTCTTCCTCCTCTTCCTCCTCTTCCTCTTCTTTCTTCTTTTATTTTAGCATATTATGGGGGTACAAGTGTTAAGGTTACGTATATTACCCATGCCCCCTCGAGTCAGAGCTTCAAGCGTATCCATCCCCCAAACATTGCACATCTTACTCATTGTGTTTGTATATACCCATCCCCTCCTCCCCACTCCAACCTGCCCGACACCCAATAAATGTTATTCCTATATGTCCACTTAGGTGTTGATCTGTTAATACCAATTTGCTGGTGAGTACATGTGGTGCTTGTTTTTCCATTCTTGAGATACTTCACTTAGTAGAATGGGTTCCAGCTGTATCCAGGAATATACAAGAGGTGCTATATCACCATTGTTTCTTAAAGCTGAATAGTATTCCATGGTATACATATACCACATTTTATTAATCCACTCATGAATTGATGGGCACTTGGGTTGTTTCCACAGCTTTGCAATTGTGAAAAAGCCTTTTTTAAAGCAGCAGTATTACCAAGATAAATATTTTAAAAATCAGGTCTTCCTCCCATCTCTAATGCCAAGAATACAGTTTCCAAATGTTTGAGATGATGGATATATTAGTTATCTTGATCGGATCATTATACATTATATGTATCACATCACATGTACCCACAAATATGTATAGTTATTGAGTCAATTTGAAAAATTTTAAAATGTAGTTTCCCCACCCAAAACTATTAATATTATGTTTTTGTCAAACTCTTCTAAATACAATTCATTTATATAAGTATGCATGTGTGTGTAATATATACTGTTCTGTTAAGGAAAATATACCATCCTATACACATACAGTACTAATCTATTAAATTTCTATTTGCACCATATTTAGGGACAATGGTGTGTGTGCGTGTGCGTGTGTGTGTGTGTGTGTACAGAGATATGTATCTGTTTAATTTTAATCAACTTTTGCATAAAAATACTATGTTTGACTTATTAATTCCCCAGTTGATGGATATTGAAGCTATCAATCTTTTTAATAAAGAGAAGAATATTTTTCAAAATTGGTTCTTTGACCAATATTCATGTGTGTGTGTCTCTGTGAGTGTTTTAAGATTGATCTGTCCAATCCTTTTATATCTGAAAAAATTATGCTTTTGCCTGGCATGTGTGTTGTAAATATATTTTCCTATTTGACATTTATCTTTTGTTTTTCCTGTGTTGTTATTTGGAATATCTATGTGATAAGGTACATATAACAATGTGTTCAGTATTTGACATATTTAAATAAATATCAATTCCTTTTTTATATCTATCTTCTCTTTCATGGAGTCAGGGTATAGAATACTCAAAAATATGGGATATTAAAAAATCTATTGAAACTTTCAGTTCTAACTTGGAATATCCAGAGCTTGTTTCCTGTATTTCTGGGGCTTCCCTGCAAAACTGAAATTGGAAGGAACATTCTGATTTTCTTCAGTTGATCTCCCTCATTTTCCCTTCATTTTAGTATCAGTGTCTCCTGGTGTCTTATGAAAACACATTGAATGACCCATACAAATAATGAAATGGGAAAATTTTAACTTTGGACCACATAGTATAATAAAGCAGAAAAAGGTTTAATAATGTAGGCTGAATTTATAAGTAAAAATAACTAGAAAATTTTGAGAGGTATATTAAAAGGAAAAGAACATGATCAAAGCAAGAGATTAAAATCATACTGGATTGACTGGCTTGTTGCTCATTGCTACAATTTTATATTTAGTATTGTGTGTATGTGTGCACATGCTTAGATTTTATGAAGGAAGGCACTCTCAAATATTTAAACAATCATTAATAGAATGATCAGAACATTTGCTAGATAAGTATATTAAAATGGAACTACCATGTTCAAAGAATATGAAAGCATATTGAAGTAAATCATGCATAATTTTCTCTATTATTGAAACATGCTACAATATATTGATAATTCCTTGCTGAAAACTACAAAAAACAAAAAACAAAACGAAAACCAAAAATAACCCACATCTATGTCAGAAAGTTATGTACTCATACCAAATTCCCTAAATTAATGTTCACTTTGTTTGAACAACCTTTTGCTTTTTAATTATTTTCCTATTTCCCATTTCATTATTTTCATGTGCAATTTGGTAAATGTATTGAATAATTACTATTAATTCTATTTTATTTATAAAAAATACACAGCAATAAATTGTAACTCCTTGGAAAGTTGCAGTTTCATGGCTGAAAACATGTATGTGATCTCCAAGCTTAGTATTCATTTTTAACTTTTTTTTCCTTTCTTCTTTACAGATTAACTATTTCTAATCAGTGGTTTCCCCACATCAACGGAAACAATGCAGCAAAATAACAGTGTGACTGAGTTCATACTGATAGGGTTAACACAGGATCCTGCAAGGCAGAAAATGGTGTTTTTAATCTTCTTAATTTTCTATGTCGGAACTATGGTGGGGAATATTCTCATTATTGTTACCATCAAATCCAGCCGGACACTAGGAAGCCCCATGTACTTCTTTCTGTTTTATTTGTCCTTTGCTGATTCCTGCTTTTCAACTTCCACAGCCCCTAGACTAATTGTGGATGCTCTCTCTGCAAAGAAAATTATATCATACAATGAGTGCATGACACAAGTCTTTGCACTACATTTATTTGGCTGCATGGAAATCTTTGTCCTCATCCTCATGGCTGTTGATCGCTATGTGGCTATCTGTAAGCCCTTGCGTTACCCAACCATCATGAGCCGGCGGGTCTGCATCATCCTGATTGTTCTTGCATGGATAGGGTCTTTTATACATTCTACAGCTCAGATTATCCTGGCCTTGAGATTGCCTTTCTGTGGACCCAATTTGATTGATCATTATTGCTGTGATTTGCAGCCCTTGTTGAAACTCGCCTGCATGGATACTTACTTGATCAACCTGCTATTGGTATCTAACAGTGGGGCAATTTGCTCAAGTAGTTTCATAATTTTGATGATTTCATACATTGTCATCTTACATTCACTGCGAAACCACAGTGCAGAAGGGAGGAAAAAAGCTCTCTCCACTTGCACTTCTCATATCATTGTAGTCATCTTATTTTTCGGCCCATGCATATTCATATATACACGTCCCCCCACTACTTTCCCTATGGATAAGATGGTGGCAGTATTCTACACGATTGGGACACCCTTTCTCAACCCACTGATCTACACACTGAGGAATGCAGAAGTAAAAAATGCCATGAAAAAGTTATGGCACATCAAAATTATTTCAGAGAGCAAAGAATGAATTGAGGGCCTGACCTGATTATTTATCCAGTCATGATTTGACTAAGTACAGATATCAAAGATGATAGTGTCTGAATACTGTGGAAATAACATTATCATATATAAGTTTGTGGCTTCCTAGTTTTTCTAGTTAATCGGCATTCTGAATGCCAATGCATATTGTGTCTTTTGTGTCAGCAGATAAAGTATAGATTAATTCAGGTAAAAAATGGACCGATAGCATTTCCTTTTCAGAGTCTCCTTCCCAGCCATGCTGTTTCTAAGGTATAAGACTGACTACCCCTGTGCACGGATCTAATGCATCTGATTCTCTCACTTTTTTGTTTTTCTGCACTTCTGACCAGAGACTGGTAGTTTTCCCTAAAATCTTTAATCTGACTCTTTCTCTGAAAGCTTGATTCTGGCATTGCTCATTGTGAACTACACATCACAACTTTGCCCTCTTGTTTGATGTGAAGAAAGACATTTATATAATCACAACTGTTGAAACTTGTAAGCATCCATAAATAAAGTACAGCCACTCCTCTATAATTTTAATTTCATATATAACACATTTCTGATAAGGTATTGAGCTTCCTCCTGAACACTTCCAGGGGAAAGGAGTTAATTTGGTATATCAAGATTGCCCATTTCACTAAAAAATCACCTGGTACTTAGTAAACAGTACACATTAGCTTCTTTTATTCGAGATATTATATTTTTATATTATGTATGTATGTACAACATGGATCTAATTAGTAAAGAAATATTATTGAATGTGGAAAAAGAAAAGATTGTCCATTTCATTTTATCACTAGTTTGCATTTTAAAAGTTCCCTATTTTGGAATCAGATAATTTTTGGATGTAATGATAATTCACACTAATTTTTTTACTTATGGTTTCCTTGGCTATTAAGATAATCAGCACATTATTTATGAAAAATTTTAGTGTAGTATTACAAATAGTTGAGATATTCAGCTATTTATATGATTAGAGGATTGGAGCTACAGTGACAGATTTCTGTGATTCTAAGATTCTAAAATGTAGAAATATAAAATAATGGATGTTGGCAAAAACTAAATTGGGTAGGGGAGAATGAAGAGAGGTCTGTGAATGGGTACACACATAAAGTTAGATAGAAGTTATAAGTTCTAACATTTGACAGCAGAGTAGGATGACTGTAGTTAACAAGATATTGTATTTTTCAAAATAGCTAGAAGAGAAGATCTGAAATATACTCAAGGCATACAAATAGTAGGATTATAGACAGCCTAAGTACCCTGATTGATCATTACACATACAAAACATGTAACAAAATTTCACATGTACCTCATAAATATATACAAATATAATGTATCAAAAGTGTTTTAAATAACAGATAACTTTTAAAAATTTAAATACACTAGAGATACAACATAGTTTTCAGAGTGAAGTGCAGAATGGTAGAACATGGTTTGAAGCCAAAAACAGTATGTTCTATTTTATTCAAAGTTGGATAACGTCAATGAAATAAATAAAATTACCAGCATAATTCATAAAATACTCAGGATATTTGTCTCTAGTTAGTGGGGTTGGGGAAACCCACTACTGCTTCAGGAAGTCACCTTCTCTATCTATTTTTCCTGTCCTAATAAAGGGGATGTTTAAATTCATGAGTTAAAATTGAAATGGAATTTTCATGCCCAGAGTGAGCAAAGCAGATTAACAGCTGCATGTTAGATGTGAATGTCATGAGTTATATTATGAACTTTTAATGTTCACTGATTTCAGTGTAATAATTGGCATCACATCTTTAGTAACTGCTACCAGATTGATTTCATCTTTAATCTTGTACTTATTGTTAAATGGGAGAATATTATCAATTTCATCGATGACCTCCTGTCAAATAAGTTTAAAATAAGTTCAGTAAAATAGCATGAGTTTTTACATGTACTCACTTCTTTTTGTTTATTGGGACATAACAATCCCAGTGTTTGCTCTTGTGTCCCAAAGTTGACATGTCATGCTTGACGAGGGCTATATATTTAAAAGACAATGGAAATATAGTGATTCCATCAAAACTTATCTAATCATCTCCTCCATAACACCAAAACACATAGGTACACACACACGCACACACACACATTCACACAGCCTATACAGGCTTTTATGTTGACTTGCATTTCAGATGAATAATTAAAAATAGGAATTTTAAAAGGAAAGGAATAAGCTAAAATATAAGTAAATAAATCAAGGTTGGAAAATAGAATAAGAAGAAGCTATATAGGAGAATAAAAATTGGAATGTTTTCTTTCAAAAATAATAGTAGTCAAATTGAAATTCGGAAAATAGTAAAATTATCAAAAAATTTTGAAACAGCATATCCATCCAATGGATAATTTTGGAGTCACCCCCGTAATGTAATATTCTGACATAAAAAAAGAGATTAAACTAAAAGAGAAACCACAAAATCTAATTATCCATTAATTTTAGAAACAAGCAGTGTCTACTATGTGTCCAAAGCCTTTTTTGTTGTTATCATACTTGTATTTCACTAAAATAAGACAGTTTGATATTTCTATTGAAAAGTAAAATTTTCCAGATGAAAAATCTAAAGATCAGGGAAATAAATCAATGCCTTGAAGTTGTTTTGCTAGGAATATCAAAATACTGTTTTAAACCATAACTGGTTGGCAATTGAACATATAGGCCAAGTCTGGGAGGTGTAAACTCAGAATCCCCTGGGAGTGTTATCATTCATATTTTCCAAGCTAGACCTGAAGAAGGGCACAAAACTGAAATGCATTCCTTATTGTTCCAACAATTCCCAGAACGATAACTAATAAGGAATATCTTTCTCTTCCACCACCCATTCTAGATTTCTCTCAACCTTGACCAACACATTAGTTGATTTGAGCTATTTCCCTTCTGGGGTAACTGAAAACTTTGCTACAAGAGTTTCATGCCAGTTGCCTTGTTCTTACTGAACTGTAGTTGCAGCAATTGTCCAGTTATAGTTAGCATTGGGAATGCAAGTGCTAAGCCATATTCCACTGAATTCTTTGTGTTCTGGATGTTGTCATCTCTGCCCTAACCTATAGTAGCAACCCTAATTACTCACAATAATCAGTATGAAGTACCCCAGCCAGAACACTAATTCTTTATTGCCTGCTGGTTCACTTGTATAATGAGCCCAGAATTGGGGTTTATACCGTGTCCCTGGAAGGTTATTTTTCTCTCTAGAAATCAAGAACTCCAAATTGGTGAAGCTACAGATGCTACAAATGAGTTCCTGGGAGGGTTAATAATAGGGAACATTCTACTTTCCCCTCTTAAGTGTCACATGATGTATGCCAGGCAAGTAGGGACCTCACGTCATATATCAGGCATTGGTTCAGTGTACAAGGCATGTACTGAATCTGAAGTGCAGCATCCCAGCTCCTCACAGGGATGACTTCTACCTAATCCCTTAATTGGTCTGTTAATAGGCCTTTCCCCTCTTCTATCAGCTGGATACCTGTGGCTGATAAGTTACTTGAGAAAATCAGTTCCTCATTCTGAGATGAGAATATTTTCACATCTTTGCCCACAAATAGCTATAATGTCCTTGGAAATGCTTAAGGGATATTGCTTCAATATTTCAGTCAATCTTCAAACAACCAAATGTTGGCATAGGCATTGTGGAGATGGATGACAACTATACCTACAGTGTGTATTATTTCTCATAAGAACACCTTGCTGCCACCATCACTGTGGAAGAGGTCTGATATGATTAACCTGGTGTCAGGTGGATGACTGTTCTCCCAGGAACTGATGTCATATTGAGGGTGCAGACAAGGAATCTGCTACTGGCAGGTTGGACATCCAGAAGTGGCATGCTGATCATCTGAAACTGTAAAGCCTACTCAATTGTTGATGCTTACCAGTTAGTACCCATATTAATAGGTCTATTCACGTAACTCTTTCCAGACAACTTTGTCCAGGTTTCTTTACCTTCCATACACTTAGACACTTGATCAACAACCCATAAATTTATCACTGCCCTTGAGTCAATGTATGTCCATAATCTAGGACACCTTTTCCCCTATATAAAGTGGAAAACAAGAGTATTATTTGGGAATTTGTCCAAAGTATAAATTTCCTATATTACTTAACTTTGAGACCACCTTTGAATCAGGCCATGATGGGCAGCTGTTCCTTTCATGTTGATGCCAATGTGTTTTGGTGGCTTGTTTGAAAACCAGACCAAAATCCTTTCCTTCTGTGTCAGTTGATCATAGAGTACTCCTAAGGAAGTTATTCTTGTGAGATGAGGGAAAGGCATGGATTTAACAGCGCTGAGTGATATGAGAATCAGAATCATCCATTTTTTCATGAATTACTCTGACCTTCTGCCCTACTCAGAGCCAGCTCTTACCAGTTCAGGCTGCTGCACCCTCCAAATGCAAGACCTATCCAAATGAATCCTATCCAGTGAATCCTATTCCAAATGAATCCTATCACAGCCAGTTCATACTGGGTAGCTGAGGTGGAAAGTCTTTTGGTTTCCCTGAGTCACTTCAGTACTTTCTGTACCTGCTGTGTAAATGTGAACTGATTTTATGCTCCCTATCTATGAGAATCAAGAAGTGTGCTATTACCAAGTGCCAAAATTTCTGTGATTATACTAAATATAAAGTACTCAGGTAAGGGAGCTCTTTGTGAGACTCCATCAATATATACCATAATACATTTGTTTTTAGCAGGGACCAGACAAGCAAACATAAAATGTGACAGCCATCTCCACTGCAGAAATATGCTTTCCACCCCAAATCTCCATTTTCTCTGTTTAAGTTACTCCTTTCTGGATTCTTTTGAAAACTCACTATAATAAGTTATATCTGTAATGCAACTCTTTCTGTTTGAAAGCCTAAAAATGTTCCTCTTGATTATCACATTCTTTCTTTAATCTTTTAATATTTTCAAATTCCCCAACCTCAACTGTTTGCACTCTTTATTTCTAGCCCACATAAATGCCTCTATTTGAATTTGAACTACCTATGCTTCAAACATTGTAGGCATCATTAAACAAATTATAATAATTATTATGATTCAAGAGAAAACTTAATATTG